AAATTAATCTACAAAAGTCTGTAGCCTTTCTATATACCAATACATGCAGTCAGAGAAAGAGCACAGGGAAACCCTCCCATTCACAATAGCTGCAAAAAAAGTAAAATATCTCAGAATAAACCTAACCAGTGACATTAAAGACCTCTACAATGAAAATTTTAAATCTTTAAAGGAAGAGATTGAGGAAGACATCAGAAGATGGAAGGACCTCCCATGCTCATGGATTAGAAGAATTAATACTGTGAAAATGATCATCCTAACAAAAGCCATTTATAGATTCAATGCAATAGCAATCAAAATCCCCATGACATTTTTCACAGAATTGGAAAAAAACATCCTAAGATTCATATGGAAGCGCAAAAGACCTCAGATAGCCAAAGAAACTCTGAACACAAAGAGCAATGCCAGGGGGATTACTATACCAGATTTTAAACTGTGTTACATAACTATAGTCATAAAAACAACATGGTACTGGCACAAAAACAGACCCATAGATCAATGGAATAAAATTGAAGGCACAAATATGAGTACATGCAATTTCAACCACCTGATCATTGTCAAAGGGGCCAAGAATATTCACTGGAAGAAAGACAGCAGGTTCAGCAAATGGTGCTGGCAAAACTGAATCTCTACCTGTAGAAAAATGGAACTAAACCCCTATCTTTCACCTTGCACAAAAGTCAATTACAAATGGATCAGAGACCTCAGTGTAATGCCTGAAACTCTGAAACTGTTAGAAGAAAACATTGGCAAAAACCTATAAGATATAGGTATAGGAAAGTATTTTCTACACAGGATATCAATTGCTCAGGAAACAAGGGCAAGAATTAACAAAGGGGACCTCATTAAACTAAAAAGCTTCTGTATATCACAGGCGGCAACAAGGGAAGTGCACAGAAAACCCACAGAATTGGAGAAAATCTTCACCAGCGACACATCTGACAGAAGTTTAACATCCAGAATATATAATGAAGTCAAAAAACAGAGAATCAAGACAAGAAGTAACCCAATTAAAAGATGGGCAAGGGAGTTGAACAGAGAGTTCTCAAATGAAGTAAAGATGGCTATGCAGCATCTTAAAAGATGTTCAGCATCACTAATAATTATGGAAATGCAAATTAAAACACTTTAAGATTTCATCTTACCCCACTCAGATTAGCTAAGATCAAGAGAACAAATGATACCAAATGTTGGAGAGTATGTGGGGAACAGGGAACACTCATCCACTGCTGGTGGGGCTGCAAACTTGTTCAACCCCTATGGAAAGCAGTGTGGAAAACTCTTAAAAAATTACAAATGAACCCACCATTTGACCCAGTTATGCCACTACTTGGCATATACCCAAAGAACTCATCCTATTGCAGAGATACTTGCACATCCATGTTTGTTGCTGCTCTTTTCACAATAGTTAAGAAATGGAAGCAACCTAAGTGTCCCTCAATTGATGAGTGGATAATGAAAATGTGGTTCATTTATATGATGGAGTTTTACTGAGCAGTAAAGAAAGATGAAATCATGAAATTTACAGGTAAATGGATGGAACTAGAAACTGTTATACTAAGTGAAGTAACACAATCTCAGAAAAAAAATCAATATATGTTCTCCCTCATATGTGGATCCTAGTACCAAGCCCTGATAAGTGATAGTGCATCCAGACATAACTGCAGGAACCAGGATAATGGAAAGTAACCAGTGAGGTAAAGGAAAAGAAAGAACCTGAAAGAGAAGAACAGTAGGAAACAGCCCTTAATAATGGAGATATGGATAAAAATTGGGTTATTTTAAGGGTAGGAGGAGGGAAGTTATACAAGGAACCTAGGAGATAAAGGGAAAGAAGGAGCTCGAGAGAGGTAGGACCATAGGAGAAGGGTATTGTTAAGGGAGAAAGGGGGGAAATGGGGGAACCTTAATTAGGGAAACCATGATGGAGGGGTGAGACAATGTGAGAGATAATGCCTAGCTAGTTTTAAAAATCAGAGGAAACCATATTACTCCAACAACCTACTGTCAAATTATACATACCAGATCAAGAACTATATGTCTAGGTAAGGTTCTCTGAGAACAATTGGTCTTTGCCCAAGATTTACCTACATGACACACAGTAATTAAAAGTACCCGACTGGTGGAATTAATCTTCTTAGATGTTTAACAGACATACTTTGAGGCCTATACTAATTTGGTCAGAGGGACATAAAGGACAGTTTTTGCTCCTTTCCCTCCTAGGTTGAATAGCTCCAGGGGACTATGAGCATCTCCCAAAATGTCCTGGAACTGTGGTGGGTCACCTGTCCTCTTGATCAAGGAGGCCGAGGAGACCATACGAGATGGACTTCAACCAGTGTCCAGTCTACAAAGAGGATGTTCAACACAGAGGAATCATTTCCTCCATGCTTCCAAGCGAAGCCCGTCACCGTTGAGCAGGACCTTTGACTTATCTTCACATAGGTGGAACTGGTAAATGAAAGGAGCCAGAGGCTCCTCCCAATCCCATGTGACCCCTGAGGAACAGATCCTCAAACGACCTTAAGAGTAAAATTAATTTGGTTTATCTAGGCCAGCTGTAAGGCCTTAAACACCCAAAAGGAAAGTATAACCAAAGATTAAAGTGGCCAATATAATTTCTTAAGTGTCCATATGCATAGCCAAAGTCTAAATAGCAAGCAACAATGCCAGATAGGAGACACCTTCTTTTGAGTTGTTGGCCAGGGTGACCAAAGGGACTCCTAGATAGAAACCCATCATAGAACTGGGAAAATGAACAGCAGACCCCAATCTTATTTAAAGGAATATTGACAACTGATTGCTGCTAGATGTGGAACAGTTGACCTTCCTAAAACAAAGTCCTCTATATAGGCTGACTAAATTTACCAGAAGGGCTGACAGGGGGAATGGATGAGGGTGCTGACAACACAGTGGACAGTGACAGGGATGGCAGAGTATGGAGCCTCTA